GTGGGCACCAAACAGGAAGAGACCGGCAACTCTGCTTTACCTCGTCATGTGGGTCATTGCCCGTCCCTCTAGGGGTGGTTAGGCTGCCTGGGGTCACTGTACGACATTGTTTCTCTAGAGGACATTTGATTCTTGTCTGTACTTTAGATATTCTGGTCATCAGAGACAATCTGTCCAGAAGAGGCTTGCATTTGATGGCCTGGTGTAACCTCTGAGGCTTTAATGGTTGTTTTTTGTTTTTTTGTATTTTTACAAGCAGCGGGAGCACATGAGACTAAACCTATGAAGGGTATGTCTGGCTGGTGCCAAAGCATTTTGAGACTTTGGGGTGTTGTTTTAATCGTGGAAGTTACCTCCTACCCCCTAGGCATTCTCCGCAACTAATCTCTGATGTTGACTTTGTTCAAGATGTTGACTTCGTTAGCTAAAAGTACTGTGCTGGTTTCTCCTACCTTCCACACGCCTCGCCATGTGTCAGTCATCCCTAAAACGGTCCACATGGTTCAAAACAAGCACAACTCTGAATCCCACAGCAAGGGTGAAATCCCCAGCGCTGTGAAAGCAATGCTTTGGGGAGGAGTGGAAGGGCTGGGTGAAGCTATTCAACAAAGAGGCTCTATAAAGGACCAAATACTCACACAGCCCGTACCCACAGAGATGGCAGTGACATCACATCTAGCTCTCTGCCCAGGCTTAACATTTTAGCAACTTTCTCCTGGGATGACCGACCACCTTAAGAGCCGTTGCCTCTTTCCCCCAAAATACCACGCTAAATGCTAAGGGCCTCCAAGAGTTCTAGAAGCAATGCAGAAGGCCTTGATGGTGCTGGCCACGTTTCCCCAGGGCCCTGAAGGTGGCATGATGACATGGGGGTGTGCATGGATGCAGAGCAGGGAGAAACTGGCCATGTTCTACTATCTGTCAACGGAACTATATGAAAATTGTTTTCCTTAGCACTAGGTTATAGAACTCACATTACTATGCTCAAACCAGTTACTAACACAGCCCCCTGAGTACTTCTGTCTGTCCTTTCATCCTGCAGGAAGGTGTCATTTCTTAGTCCCTTGCAATGTTCATGAGATCCTGGTGTCTATTATTAGTTACAGGATGTGGACCTGCGACCCCCAGTACCACAGTCACAGACTTGGGGGTCATTTTCTAAGTGAAACTAACGGAACACGTTCTCTACAGACAAAGAAACTGTGTTGTAGAAATCCATTCCTCCATGACTTTTATATATATTATGTGCAAATATAAGGTATGTATGTGGTAATGAGCCAACCCGACCACCATGTAGATTTCTCTGGTCTCTGTTCCTGCCCGGAAGGGACTCGCTCATGATGAAATAAAGTTCGCACACAATACTTTCTCCATCCTCGGGTTTGTTCTGTTTGTTCTCCCTCCTCTAAGTAGTGACACAAGACTTAGGAATTTAGGGGAAATGTAGCGAATTGTCATTCTCAAAGGAGACTCAACCAAACCATTACAATAGAGAAAGCCCACCTTACTACATCCATTTTGGTTGTCTAAAAGGCAGAGAGAAAATGCCATCCTAGATATCTGAGAATCTGTTGCAGTTATACTTTATCGTGTTGTTGTTGTTTATTTTGCTGGTTTGGGATGGGGTGGGGGGTGGTGATTTGTTCTAGCTTTTGGCTGTGATAGAGTTTTTTACATCCTTCTTAGCAAGAAGCAGCTTCTTCCCAAACTTCAGAGCCAAGGTCTGTATCTAAGAAGGGTGGATGTCATATGTAACGGCAAGTCCAAGTTAACGACACATATGTATTATGTGGTTTAAGTCATCTGTCACTAATACTCGGTCACAAAACCTTCTGCGGCCTAGAGGTGACATTGCACAGGGGAATCAGATGTGTGCTTTGTTGTGAATCCTGATCATTTCCCCCCTCAAAGTCAAATGTTTCTGTCTGTCTGTCTATCAGAGTGTCTGATAAGCGCCCACGGTATTACACAGTGGGTAGAAACAGTGGAGGAGGCCCTGTTTCTTTGCTGGGTGGAGCTTCCAGGCTAGTGAGGGGATGGATCTTAAAGAAACATACACATATCCACAAAGGGAAGAAAGACGACGATACTTAAGAAAATTGATCCGAAAACAACACACTATAATTGAAGCTAGTGGACAAAGCAGTGTCACCTGAGTTCAAGCTAGGTCAAGTTTCTGAAAGCAGGTCTCTGGGATGGATCCAGGACTGACACACGAATGAGGCCAGTCCCAATCGAAACCAAATTAACCTGGCTTAGGACAGAATGTAAATGTTAGCAACTGCTAATCTTAATGAAATGGGGCTGACAGAGTGACTCAGCAGGGAAGGGCACCTGCCCTCCGGCCAGCTAGCCTGAGTACTGAGTTCAATCCTCAGGACTCCTATGTAGAAGGGGAGAGCCAACCCAGGAGAGCTGTCCTCCGTCCACACAGGCATGCCAGTGCCTCCCTCACACCACATGCAAGTAATGGACAGATAAACAAACAAACAAACAAATAAATAAATAAAATAAGCAAGCTAAAAATTTTGAAGAATTTTAATGAGATTTTAAAGTAAGGCCCATAAACGTGGTTGTATTTATTTTAATTAACTCATTGAATGGCTATCCTGACCATACCCTGCCTTTAAGGTCATCTGTAAAACAGTGTAGAAACCATTCTGCGTGACAGACTTCACCCCCACCGAAAACAATCAGGCAGGGCCGAGAGCTGGTGAGGAACTTCCGTTTGTTTTCCCATAATTACCCTCTGCCTACCTGCACCAATAGTGCCTTCTGTTTGTTTGCCATAATCTGGAGCGGGGCACAGGTAACATTCCTGAGGCCGGGGGGCGACCTGGAATGAAACATTTCCTGGGGCTCAGCTCTGCTGAGCATCTCAAGACCTGGGAGCTTTTCAATGCTCACATCTGGCAGTCTTCTGGGAGAGTAGGAGCTGCCCCTCACTTGCCTCTTAAGAAGAAAGTATAGGATTGAGACCTCTACAGAACCGACTCTTTATTCCAGTCTCTCTAACTCCGGTCTCTGTAGAGGTTCATCTGGGCAGGTTCTTGGATGTAGAACTACTTCTGGGTATTTTTAAGGCCCTTGGCCTGCGTTTCCAAATTACTTCCAGATAGATTGTATACCAGGAGCCTGTCGATCATTCCAGAGTAGTGTGCCACCCTGATTCTACCACCTTGAGGTTGAAAATAACAGATAGTCGCTTCTAAAAATAAAAATGTTTCTAAAAGAATTTGACCTTATTTGTTCATAGATTACTATCGTGATTGGTTCATACTAATAACCACGTGAAATAAGTTATAATACATTGGGGGTGGGTAGTGAGCTCTAAAGAGGGGGGGGAGGACTTCCCAGAAAAGATGTAGAGGGAGAGAAATCCAAGCAGATTTTTAGAACTGTGATATATGAGGCAAAAACTTCCCAAGTCTACCTGAACTGACACCAACAGGAAATCTGATTGCTCCAAAGCTCTAACTAGCAGAGTGTCTCAGTTACAGCCAGGAAACCAGCTTGGCCCCTTGTTCCCAGAGATGGCAAGAAGTCCAGCCCACTCCTAGGAATCTGGGGCCTCTCTGCTGTTTTAAACACTCCCTGGGAGCTTGCTCAGATAGCAGCATGTGGTGCCACACCTCTTAAACTATCTGCCCCGCAATCTAGAATGTCATCTTGGACTGACCACGAAGTAAGAAGAATGGCCTCTGGTTAGCAGCGGGGGAAGGACATAAAGTCCAGACTCATTGATTTCTAGGTGCCCAGTTTGCACCTGGGAGTCACGAACTCATTGACTCATTGCTAAGACCCCAACAGCACATTAAAGTGAAGGCTGGGAGTCAGATGTGGCGGCACAGACCTGTAATCCCAACACATGGGAGGGAAGGGTGGGAGAGTCAAGAGGTAAGGATCTTCCTTGGCCACAGAGTGAGTTAAGTGAACCTGTGCTACATGAAATCCTGGATAGACAGACAGACAGACAGACAGATAGATAGACAGACAGATAGATAGATGTATACAGATACACACATATAATATTATGTATATACATACATATATGTATATAAAAAAGAGATGGGGAATTGTTAGAGAAGTTGAGGGCATTGAGCAAGCAGGAAAATAATGAGAAGAGATAAAAAGAATACCCCCCCCCCGACACCAAATTTCCAAGAGCCTTCTCTGAAAATTTAAACGTAAGTAGTACGTTTTGGAAAGGTTTCCATTTAAAGCATTTAAAAGTCGGCCTGCCCTCCAGATCCTCCAGGGCATGTCAGGCATATTTCAGGCTTTGTAGCCACATCACAAAGTAAACACAAACAAACGAGCCAAGAACCACCACCTTAGTTAAAACTTATTAATTTTGTGCCAGGCTGCCAAGAACTCCCCTCATTGTCCAACAAAAAGGTCCAGGAAGAATGGCCGTTACATGAAAGTCGGAAAATATTTGGGGGAGAGTGAAATATAACAGAAAAATCATATTAAACTATTCATCGTGGGGCTGGGAGGCGACTCAGCTGGTGAGCATGTGGCACAAACCTGAAGACCCAGACTCAGGCTCTCAGAACACACAGAAGAGCAGGGCCCGGTGGCACGTGCCTGTGAGCATGGCACAGGAAGGTAGAGATGAGGATCCCTCAAGCTCGCTGGGCAGCTGATCTAAACCAGTTAACGAGATCCAGGCTCATTGCGAGATTCTGTCTAAAAATATAAATGACATGTCCACCTCTGCCCTCCACATACATGTCCACACACACATCTGTTTGTTCTATTTTTCACTATAAAGTCATACATTGAAAAAGAATCACTCACCCCAAGGCAGTTAAACAGACTATATCCTACACTACACTACCCCTCACAATTGTCTAATATTGACCCTGCTCTCCTGAGGCAACAGTACGCATGCACCTAATGTATTAGACTTCTACTGTTGCAATAAGTTGCCACAAAACCCATGGTGTAAAACAGCACACACGTGTCCCTTAGTCTTCTTGAGATGGGTGAGATGTCAGCAGGACAGGGTTCTTTGAGGACATTCTAGAAAACATCTGTTTCCTTGTCATTTCCAGCTTCTAGTAGCCACCTGCCTTTCCTGGCTCATGGCACTTTCTTCCATCTTAAGACCTGGCAGCATAGCATCTTCCAGACTCCTTCTGACTCTGCGTTCCTTATGTAAGGGCTCTTGTGGTTCCTGTGGTCCCACGTGGGCAGCCCAAGATAGTCTCCAGTCTCTTAAAACCTTAACGGGCAGCTGCAAAGTCCCTTTCCCTCTGAAAGGTGACCCAGCGGAGGTTTCTG